TTCACAAGACACAAAGCTGCTTTAACTGCTCCCACTGTATTTCTCAGACCTCGGGAAAGCTCTCAGGATGTCAAAAGCCCCAGACTCGGCAGAAACTCCACAGTTTAATTTGTGAAGTGAGACAGCTGACAGATTACGTACTCAATTTTACTTCACAGGCACTAAAGCCATGAATCTAGTCCTCTGTCTCTCGAATCGGTGATGATTAATGAGTTTCAGGGACTTCAAAAATGCAAAGGGCAGCAGTTCAGAAAGCAAAGGCATCACCTGGCATAGAAAAGAAACAAGACCTTGTTGCACAGTGACGTGACCCGGGTATTGCCCAGGTGTGCTGCCCAAGCCCTCAGATAGGGCTGGAAAAAGGGTTAGCGTGTTGAATGAGGCTACAAGAATTTGAAACATTTCTCTTCCCAGCAACAGTTCATGGCTGTCATTTTAAAGAAAAGTGGACTCCCTGAGGCATCCTAGAGAGCACTTTTGCATCAAATGTTGCCTGTGTGCATGAAAACAAGTATCCCTTGGAGCAGTGAGCTGAGCAATATATCAAGGAATGACAAATAATTGCTTAATGTGGAGAAAAATAAATCCTGGGAATTTGTATCCAAAGCCAGCAGAGTTTTGGCTGGGTCTGGAGGGCAAGACAGTCTCCATTTTGACAGATACAGTGCATGTGTTAAGCAAGAAAAAGTGTCTTTAGGAGTGTCAAGTCCTGGACCTGTGGCTCTCAAGAACATGAATGTGAGGGGAACTGAGTATATCCCATGTTTAGGGATACAAGTACTCTCTTTTCTCTCTTCTAGCACCACTAATCTGCTATTTTGCAGCCGATCTGTCCCATTTTTCTAAATCAGTAAAGTAAAATTTATTTATTTCTTAGTCTTTGTGAAGTGAATTTATGTCAGTGGAGATGTAAAAGGACTTTCTCTGCATACACTCCAAAGCTGTATATTACATTTATTAGACTAGGATGTCTGCTTTTCAGTTAAGAGAAAAAAAAAAAAAAAAGCAAGAAATGAGTATGGCAGCTGTGGGTCCTTGCATACGACTGTAGAATGAAAAACTGGGTTTTGGGATGTGGCTGATCTTGCCTACAGACTTCTAAAGAACAAAAATATCTTTGCAACTATTTGTTGTGTCAGCCATCTTTCAATAAATCTAAAGACAATTTTCTTGTTTAAACCAGTTGTTGTCTTCTGTTAAGACAGGTTGCCCAGAGAAGTTGTGGATGCCCCATCCCTGGAAGCGTTCAAGGCCAGGCTGGATGAGGCTTTGGGCAACCTGGTGTAGTGGAGGGTGTCCCTGACCATGGCAGAGGGGTTGGAACTAGATGATCTTTAAGGTCCTTTCCAACCCAAACCATTCTATGATGCTATGATTCTATGATAAGAAGTCAGTTGATTAGTTCCACAGTTTTCGTAAGCAGCTCTGTATTCAGCAGAAAAAACATCTTGCAAAGCAATTTGCTGGCATTGTCCTCTCACCTTCATTTGGTCTCTGTGGGCAGAGACACTCAAAGATGCATCTAATGGAAAGGGAACTACCACCCTCCCACATCGGATGAGGCTTTGAGTAACATGATCTAGCAGAAGGTGTCCTTGCCTACGGCAGGGGGATTGGAACTAAATGATCTTTAAGGTCCCTTCCAACTCAAACTGCCCTATGATTCTATGATCTTTCCAGCCCCGCAGTGTACCTGCTGCATGCTGACAGACATCTCTTGGAATTCTGACCATACAGGGATCTCCACACTCTCACTTCCAGTAAAGTGTTCCTGTTGTGTAGGCACACACAGGGCACCCAAATCATTACATGTGCCTCTTGCTGAGGAGACAGAAGAAACAAACTGATGCAAATCAGTAAAAAAACCCAAACAAACAAAGGATGGTGAGAATTTAATTTACATGCTTTTCCTACATTGTGAAATCTCAGGCTCCTTTTCTCTAACCCTCAAGTGAGTAGAAAAATAATTACAAGAGTCCAACTCTACCTTAATACATCAGCAAAAGGCAAGATTTGCACAGTATTTGCATCTTAGTCTTATCTTTACTACAAGTGTGTTTAAAGGCAGTATTTGGTAAACTACTTGCCTGTAGGCAGCATTGCAAACAATTAGAATTCAGTCCAAAACTCCGTAGTATCAGATAATGCACGAAAGTAGTGCTATCATTTAAAAAATAAATGAAAATTAAGAAAGAGTACAAACCATTTATTTTTTAGAAAATATCCTATAAAATTGTGAATTGACTACCATTATACTGCTAACAAAATTATAGCAAAGAATCTGATAAAATATATTCCTGATAATCTTTCAAGTCCTGTATTACATTTGGAATGGTTTCAAATATAGAAAAAGGTCCAAACCTCACCTATAATGAGCTTATTCAGTTTGCATCTTGTACAACACTTATAGTTTATAACTGAGTAAGTGTTGATGCATACAGCTGTAATTCACCAGTGTTTATCACAATTATATTAAAATAAATAAGCAAACATACTGAGATGATACAAGCCAAGCATAGAGAATTCTTCCTAACTACACTTGATCAGGGGCATTCAAGTAAACAGAGTCACTCTATGAAATTTCTAGAAGAAAAGCAATCTAGAAGCAAGACACTCTCACCACTTTCTCTGAGCAATTTTCTCCTGGTATCAGCATTACTCCTATAAACTCACTGGCTGAAGTTATAAAACAAGATGCTTAAAGGTAAATGATAAAACTAGTACATAAAAAAATGATTCTTCATCATCTATAGTATAATAAGCTGGGTCTTCAGCTTTCAGATATGTTACCAAAGCAGGGATTCTTCACACTTAACTTTAGCTTTCAGAAGTTAAGCACTAGATTAGCTGTCTGTTCCGTGCCTGTTCAACACAGATTCAGTTTAACCAAAATACTGATTTTAGAAGGATCCACCTTTCCCATCCAAAATGCCAGTTTCTATTCAGCCTGTGAAGACAGCTATCTATTTTTCTTCCCCAGCAGGAGAGAAAGAAGATAGAAGACCATCTAAAATCAGCCAGTGAATTTTTACATGGCTCAAATTATGTCTGATGGATTGGGTCAGATCAGTGAAGATTTCTAGGTATCTGTCAGAAAGGGAGTTACGGTTCTAACGGCATTTGTCATTTTGTCCCGTTAGGGTACAATTTAGTATCCCACAGAACCAATAGAACTGCTTGCGCTGTGTTTGGTCAGCACAAAAACAATCAAACCATCTTACTAGATACTTATAGCCAGCAGTCATGTTGTCCAACCAAGGATTTGAATTGTAAATTACAAATAAGAGCATCCAGGTAGCATTTGATCCACCTTCTTCTATCTTCCCATATGCGAAAGGAAAGCTTGCACTGCGCACGCTGGCACACTGGTAAACATCAAAATAAGTTTGTGTATTTGAAGGCTGCTGGTCGAGATGAAGACTCCGTGTATTTCATTGCTGGCGTTAATGGTGTCGTCACAGTTTTTGCACACCAAGCCCAGTCTTGCAGGAGTCCCCACAGCAAAGTGAAAAAGAAAAGGATCCCCAAAAGTGCCGAAGCGCATGGCTTGCCCCTCCAATGCAGGAGGCATGTGGCCGTAGCCCAGCAGGTGAGGCGATGGGTGGACTCCTGCTCCCTGGTGATGCAGATGCCCCATGGTTCAGAGCTGGAGATTGGACAGGGCAGCGGGCAGAGGAGCCCGAGCATCAGCATCCTCACTCCCACATGTATCAGGCAGCCAATATTGCCAGGGGAGAGCCTGGGAGAGCGCAGAGTGGTCATAGCTGTGCTTCAGTTTGTGGCAGCAGGACATGCTTCTGGGAGAGAAGGAAAAATACCCAGTGTTAAAGTTTAGCTGGAGGAAATATTTGCTTTTACAACCTCAGTGGAGTAAGAACCACATATCTCATGTTTGTTTGACACATACGCTGAGCCAGCAGCTCAGCAACCGAACAGAGGTCAGAAATTATCCATTATCTTTTTAATTTGGAATGGACTTTAGTTTCAGTATTTTCATTGCTTGTTCTACGACCACACTTTAGAGGTGTTATTATTACCACTCCCTTGGAAAATGCTGTGAATGAGGTAGCACCTCTCCAAGAAAAAGAAGTGATTTCACTCTTAAGATGATCTCTCTTCTTGGGTGGGGAAAGAGGATAGAAACTGCTGTTTTTTCTGATGCATGCTGAGAAATGCTTAGGAAATATCACCTGATTTTCAGAGCAGAAAGGGAGAGCACTCAATGCCTGCAACAGCCTACGTCCTTGAAAAATAATATGCTACAAGCAGAAAATGTGTAGTTCTGAAGTGTGGCTCCCTTATGTCTCAAAGTATCAGGAGTAAGTGATTTTAACGGATGATTAAAAACTTTCCCCCCACTATTATCGCACTGTAGGGAGCTGCCATCAGCAGTGACCTACTTGCTGTCGTGGCAGAAACGCGTGTTTCATATGCTGGCCTAAATGCAGATGACTGTTGGTTGGTGCTCGTCTATCCGCAGTGTGATATACTTAGAAAATAAATAACATCTGCCAGAGGGCCTTGCTTAGGTTCAGTTGGGTTCCCCTTCCTTGTCCGTACAGCGGTGTGAGTACAGGCCTCACAGATGACAGGCACATGAGCACGGCCGACAGAGAAAGCGTAGCTATCCTTAGTATCCTTAATATATACGTGAAGTGCTGTTAGTGCTGGGCTGGGCTATGCATTTTCTTTGTAAGGGGTTGTCAACCACGAGTCCTCTGAAACTGTGCCAGAGAATCAATAGATCTGTTTTAAAATGCTATGCTCATTTTCTGCGCTTTCTAGGGGGCTCTCAAGTCACATTTCCAAGCTTCGCCATGCAACCATGCAGAATTGTTCCTTTCCCAATGACATGTTTGCTGGGGGCAGTGGGAGCGAGGACTGAGTGAGCTGGTCAGTCCTGTGCTTCTTGGACCCAGGGCTTTACTAAAGACCAACGACTACCATAAAGTAACTTTGCAGGCATTGGCAACGCTACTGATGAGAAAAGAGTCTTCCCTCAACAAACCTTGCTGGGTTATTAAAGGCACTCTTTGGAACATGAAAGGCTTAGACGTGGAGAAGGAAACGTTTCAGCTCATCCGGGAGGAGAAGTCCAGTTATTTTTTGATGCTGCTTGTGTCCAAAGCACCTCCTGATGCACAGGCGACACAACTGCATCAAGGACAGCGGCCCTGGAGAAAGAGCCAGGAAACAGGTTACACACCTGACTTTATCGCCCCAAAGTTGTAAAGCTGAAACAGCAGCTGCGCATCACTGCTCCCCCCCGCCACCTCCTGCAACCCACCTCGCACCAGGGCTGTGTGGCCTCCGGAACGCTCAGCAGTGAAAAGCCAGACCTGCATCCACCAAAGGGCATCAGCCCACCTGCAATTCCATTGAAGCCTGGTCACTCTCTGCCATTACACAGCTGCAATTAGCATTAGCAGCGTATGTCTTTCCCTTTCGAGCTGCAGGAGTGTGAAGCGCTTTGTGCAGTCTGAGAAGAAGAAATGATCGATGCTACCTTCAAAGTCCTTTGCCCCCTCACTTCCTCGGTGAGATCCAAGTTTGCAGCCCACTGCTTTCTTGAGACTTATTTCATAACAGTGACAAACACATAGCCACAGAAATACTATAATTTCATATTTAAACCTTCCAGATTAGCTGGTCCCATGCTGATAAATGCAAGCCCTGCTCAAGTATCCCCTTTTTTTAATTTAAGTACAATGACTTTATATGCTTATTTGAGGGGGCTTATCCTTTTCACAAAGAGGTAGATCTTGTGCGTTTCACACACAGATCATGTAGATCATGTGAAACATGCCTTTCAGTGTTCAGCCCTCAACATGTCATTCGTGCAAAAGGGTGCAGCCCGCAGGGGTGACAAGCATGGAGGGTTGGGGGGGGGCTATGGGAGGGCAGATAAAGGTAGAGGGGGACAGCAGCAAGTATGGATGTGGGGGATGGATGCTGGGAGTGGGAAGGACATAAGAGGAGATATTGCAGAAAGCGAGAGGGAGATGAGTGAGGTGGGAGGGGACAGCTGAGGTGTCACCCACTGTGCCAGCCAGCTGGGTGGGTAAGATAGTGGTCACCAGAGAGCTGAAATGTTTGTGCTGGTGGAGGAGTGCACGCAGTGGGAAGGAACAGGGGCTGCAGCAGAATGCAGTGAGGTGGCGGCTTTAATCAGCTTTGGAGACTTCCCTCACGCAGGACACGGCATTTTGAGCGGTTCCACAAGGCTGAAAACTGCTGCGCTATTGGAAGGGCCGTGGAAAGGGCTGCACCCTTCTGCTAGGAGTCAGCAGATGAGTGAGTTACTCTATGCTTGAGTACAAAGCAAGGCAAACTGATACAGGGCAAGTTAAGCTGGCTATTGCAGTGTCACGCTGCGCGTGTGTTTGGCCATTCTGATCTCACAGATAAATGCGCTGCCTGTAAACATCTCATTTAAAAAAGCTTGCATTCAAAAAAAACCCCAAACCCAAAACCTAAAGACTTACCAAAACACAAGCAGTGTTGCTACGCTGGAAAATATTTAGCAAGCCCAAGCATACTGTCCAAAAACACGGTGCATTTTTGGGTCATTAGCTAATTCTCCCACCCACCTGTGAGACTCTCCCAGCAAGCAGGGTATGCGGTGGTCCAGCAACATGTCAAACTCCTGGGAAGGGAGACCACCACATGTAGTATTCTTGCTCTGGGCTAGACCTAGGGCAACTGGGCCAGCACACTCACCGACTCATCTCTAGTGGCAAAACACACTCCCTCCCTGGCCATGGGCACTGGGTTGCTGTCCCACAGAGTCTGCGGCGTGGGGGGAGAGGAGCCCTGCGCGGGAGCGGGGCAGGAGAGCAGCAGCTCAGCTGTGCTGGTGCTGAGGGGCCATGGGACTGGTGGGGTGACCCTGATCCTCATAGCACATTTTCAAACCTCCCCATGAAACCAGAGGGGTGGCGTTTGCACCGCTCCCCCAGGTTTTGACTATTCAGCTGGCCAAAGAAGTTAGACGTCAGCTGCCCATGAGACAGGGTCCTACTCAGAGAAAAGCATGTCCGAGAACATCAGACAAACACTAGTCAGCCACAAAATGCCCTTCAGGCATTTGCTGTTTCTGATTTCGATCACTGAGTTTCACTTAGAAAAGCTCCTTCCTGCCTGAGCTGTCAGCTCAGCCCGAGCAGCGCTCCTTGGGCCAGCTCCACAGGGTGTGCCTGAAACAGTCTTCTATCTCAAACAAACAGGACACACGCAGTGTCACGGGAGTCGGGAGGCTCATGCAGAGCTCAAAGAGATCACCGCTCTGTGCACTGTAGATCAGACTGGGGAGCCAAATATCCATTGCTCATATGTAACAAACAGCACTGTTGTTTTCACGCTGTTATTTTCATGTTGTTGTTTCAAGCAGGGCCTGATTCATCTCTTTATATTCCAGTTTTACCTTGGTGTGAATCTGTTCATTGTGACAATCACATCAACGTGTAAGTGGAATAATAGAGCCATGGATCACACCATTAGCAATTTGTTTAAAATAATGAAAATCCAGATTATTTAGTAATGTGAATAGTTTGCTGACGAATGAGAACATCTAAAGAAGAACACAAATACACCAATGATTAGACACAGGAGACCTTATTCTAATTTTCCTGGATTGTCAGTAAGATTTTTCTCCATAATTCATTAAAGTATTCACAATCAGTAAAATAAAATGGACCTGGAACTATTTCATTTACAGGTACAAAATAAGCACTTTTTAAGAGTTAAGCTGACAGTTTGATACTGCTGGACTATTCAGCACATAATGTTGGCCTTTAAAGAAAACCTATAAATGTATGTACATGTATTTTTTTTGTTACATCATTCTTGTGCAATTTTCCTTAATCCCCACACAAAATTAGTATGAAGTCTTTCTTTTTTAAGTTCTTTTGCACCTACATAAGATACTGGTCAAACAATAGAAGTAAAGAGCAAAGAACTAGAAGATCAGTGTTACAATATACTTTTTTTTTTTTTGAATACCACATGCATTAAAAATTTTCTGGTTGCAATTTTGCATTTATTCTAAGACTAGTATCTGGCACATACCTGACCATTAGCATACTGTATAACTAAAGATCCCAAGTCCTAGCACTTGCAGCTACCCTCAACTCCCATCAGAGGTGATTTTCTGGCTGCGTTTGTCAGCATGCTCCAGATAACACTCTTGGATCTACTCCTATCTCAGAAACAAGGGAACTGAGAGTCTTCCACTGACTTCAGTGCTTTAGGTAATCAGAAAAAGCCACCATTAATTTCTAAAGAGTGTTTTGCTTATTTTTTCACCCTAAACTCTCTTTTCCATTTTATTGTAAGCTGCATAAAATTGCTTCCTGATGCAGTAGATTCACAACCCGGAGGCTGAAAAATGAATTATCGTTGTTACCGTTATCGCTGTCGGTGCGTCACTATATTCTGATGCTAGAGGATATAGTGTCTATATATTAGTAAATGGAGGTAAGCTCGGTTGTTCCCAGTTTTGTAGCATTAGTAGCATGGAATAGCATAGCCTTTTACACCTGTTTGTGTGGTTTTTCCTTAATGATCCGGAGTGAATGACTAAAACAAACATTAAGGGCACCTTCTTTCTGCAGGAAGAGTCGTCCCACAGGGCTGCCGGGTGGGACCAGCTCCATCGGCCTCTTGCTTTCGGCATTCTTCACCCAAATGTCTGCTCCAAAGTCAATCAGCAACGTCACCAGCTCCGCACTGCAATTCCTGGCGGCCGCGTGCAGAGGGGAGTCCAGGCCCTTGCCGCTGTTCACATTTGCTCCTGAACACCAAGAGATGACATGACAGAGAATAATGACTACACAGTAGCCTATTTTCATTTCCTCCACTAGCTGCTATTTCTCTGACTAATCCATAAATGCTGCAGCATCCACCCGGAGATGGATTTCCTTATGTTTGGAAATTTTCATTACGATTTTCACATACACAGCTTGCACTGACTGGGGAGCAGTGGAGTTGTCACTAAGAAAATGATCCCAGAGGAGTGGTGCAGGAGGAAATCCTTCATCCACAGCCCAGCCCTTGGATATCTTGAAGCAGGAAAGCTGTAGTTCCACCTACGGCCCACCTTTGCTCCCCATCCCAGTGCCTTATTCCCTTAAACACATCCAGGGTTTCAACCTGTTCTGGACCGGAATCTTAAGCCGGTGAGATTTTCAAATGCCAAATCCTCTGCTGGGGAAAAAATACGAGGATGGAAAAGTTCTGGAGGTCCTTGGTAGAGGAGGATATAAGCAAGCACCCCCATCCATTATCCTGGACTAATGGCCCCTAAAACATAAGAAAGGTGAAATGCAGAACAAATTCAAAACTATTTATAATGTTTTTATAGTACACATTCTCATACATAGAAGGCCACAAAAAAAAAACAAAATGGCAGAAAACAGAAAATAGTAGCCAAACATTTAACATGTAAATTATAAGTTGTATTTGATTTCTTCCAAAAAAAAGGTCACTATGCTAAATAGTGCATAAGGTGATCTAAATATTTTTTTGTTTTTTCAAAGCGGCTTTGCTGGTCCGTCGTTTTCGTACTAGCTATGTGGCTACTTTAGGTTTTATGGTCCCTTTGGTTAAAAGACATGCACTACTGTAGACAGAAAAAAAATGGGCTTCTATGATTATCTAAGTGCTTAGACTTGTAGCTCAGTTTGTTTGATGCAAAGAATATAGTGTTGGACATTTTTCTGTGTTGGAAATATTTCAAACACTTTATGAACTTGGTGGATATTAGAACATGTTTGCAGAAATACTATATAAAAATGATTGAATCAATTTTTTGGGGGTAAAAGAGGCAAGAAAATAGAAAAATGAATGTTTTTCCTGCCCACTTCAAATAACTGCAGCAGCACATACACAGACACTGGAAAGGATGCTGTTTGTTCCAGGCACCACTGACCGTGTGAACTCCAGGATCACCCATCATTTTATTGGGAGCTGTAAAGCTGAGTTCCTGGGTAAAGAAGACCTTGGTTACTCTGCTACAGCATTTAACCTAGGGCTGCCATTAAGAGTGAAACACTTTCCGGTCCCAGAGCAGGAACTCCTCTAAATCCTTAATGCAAAGAGAATCCAAAGAGAGATGTTGCAGGAAACAAAAGTACACCATCCTTTATGTTTCTTTTTACCTGACTCAAGCAGCTTCTTGGCGCAGTTCACTTGCTGGTTCTCACAAGCTACATAAAGTGGAGTACCCAGATGCTTGATGTTATGATCTATGTTTACCCCATGGGATGCAAGGAATTCGACACATTGCACATGACCTTAAAAAGGACAAAAAAAAGTCAATTTGCAGAGATCAGGCATTTTATCAGAAAATTCTCTTTTGCAGCAGGAGATTTTGCAAAGATTTAATGTTTTGTCAAGAGACAGTAGTGTAATACTTTCATCCACTCCGGTGTTTCCAACCTGGAAAACAGGAGCTGCAAAGCGGTGGTTAGCAAAGCAGGCTAAAGCCCTCACATTTTATCTGACTCATTTCAGATGTCTGCCGAAGACCAGGTGAATCACTCCGTGTTTCTCTCCACTGCTTTTGAAGATAGCCTTGCCTACTCCCTACATTGTAGACAACTGACTTGGACAATGCAACAACCCCTTCCAGGTGCCACCATATGACCTCAGAGGCCCTGAGAGCCCAGTTGAGCTGTCCTTAGTGAGCACAAGGGGCTGGAGGAACTGCACCACTCGTGATGAGACCAACTAGGAAGATATTTCACATGACCCGAATCAAGAAAATGGTCTTCTTTACCCCTCTTTTCCACTTCGACAAGTTACTAGTAACATGGAAAGGGGTGACGATGCCCCTGGGTTTACCTCTCTTAGCAGCTTCATGGATGGGAGATGCCAAGTCACAGGGTGGGTGTAGGCTGGCTCCGTGCTCCAGCAATAAATTTAAGCAAGCCACACTGCCACTGACACAAGCACTGAACAAAGGAGTGTGCCAGTCGACAGTAAGTCCATTCACCTGGGGGAAAAAAACACAATCAAGTTTTTCGTTCATCTTATTAGAATTCCAAATGGATTTAAATTATCCAGTTTCTCAACAGAAAATAAGGTTCTCAATTCTTTTTATTTAATTCCTTGCAAAAACTGCCTACTGCTTCTCAGGATTACAATATTTTATTAAAAATATCATTAAAAATATTTTTTAAAATTGTCCCCAAGTCTCTCCTCCTGCAAATGAATGTCTAATCAGTGCCATTCTGGACTATCTCTGGAGCTATCAAGCTACCAAGTCAAGTGCGTGCCCATTTCTCGGTTATCTCAGCTGAAACACCTCTGCCATTACCCTGTCCTGAAATAGTGCATTTTTAGCTGAAAGTGTGCAGCCTTCCCTTTTTTAAAAAAAAAGTAAACTAAGAGGTAGTATAATTTCAACATTAGCTCAAAAACTAGAGACCATGAGACACACCCATTTCACCGTCATACTTGCATGTTGTTTCCATTTTCCTCTCATTTTATCATCAGTTGATCCTGACAGTCCTACATCTCTACTTAAGATTCTGCAATACTGACACCAACAGGATTAGTGTGTGCAGAAAACAAAATACACCCTTAACTGTTGCAGGATTATAAGCTCTTTCCTAAAGGCACTTCCCCTTATTCTTTCAGTAAATGATGAAAACATTGCACCTTCACCTAAAGAACAATAGTAACTGTTGTTTATATCTGTGCTTTTTGGATTGCTTTATCAAGAAGTGCATTTTATGACAGACATATTTTAAATTGAACTAAGTACAGACTGTAAATCACAGTGAAACACTGTCATGAAATAGTACATCACCTGGCACTAAAAAGTGATAAGAACATACTAGCACTGGAGACAATGGTCTGTCCCTCGGGCACTCACCTGAGCACCATGTTTTAATAGGACACTGGCACAAGCAGCATGACCCCCGAGACAGGCTTCATGGAGAGGAGACACCTGGTCTGCTGTAACAAGATTCACATCACTCCCCTGGTGAATTAATAGAAAATATCAATACAATTGACTACCAAAATCTCCATACAAAAAAAACCCAAAACCAAATCCTAACCCTTTCTATAATGACCTTTAAAGCTCCATGTAACCACACCTTCCTCAACTGCCTGGAGCTGCTCATCTCAATAGTTAAGCAGAGAAAGGGGCTGTGATGCTTTGGCTCGAGCAGATACTGGCACAGCATACCATAGGTCATGACTTCTACACACTGCTAATCGGCACAGAAAGCTGCAGGTGGTGGACCGTCTGATGGGACAATACAGACATTCTTTTAGGAACTCAGCATGGTTTTATTTCTACTACACCATGAATAACAAACTCTGAAATAAAAAAATAAAAAGATTAAAAATTGCTGCTGGAGCTCTTGGCAGGGTTGTGACTGCCTTGTTTTTACATCACCGCTCAAGCAATCTGACCTCCTGCCTGCTGAGTCTGTGGTAGTTCGACTGGATTGAATCCTGAAATGCTTTTGAGGTGTTTTCTGGTCTTTGGTCAGAGTATGGCATGCTCTGAAGGAAAGCCAGCCCCTGCATTAGAAATTGTTCGTTTGGTTCTACAGGATCTTTTGTTTCTAGCAATCTTGATGCTCCAGATGGTTAAGCTGGAAGAGTCTCCATCTTTCCAATAACCCTTCCTTTTCCATCAATTCCTCCACAGGCTAAATTTAAGAATTTCAAGGAAACTGAGCAGTGAGGTTCAAGAATCATTTCTCCCTAGACGTGCCCTTCTGCAGTGGGAGCAGGGGCCCTGGACACCCTCAGGCACTTCATGAACAGATGTGTGGGTGGCTGAATTGAACCCTCAACTAGAGCCTTGCCTGGGTCAGGAGCTGCCCCCCTCCCAGGGCACCAAACACTAGCCGCAGGTGCAGGAGCTGCAGAAGGAACCCCCCAGACAGTCGGAGATCCCAGAGACCCAGGGTCCTGTTATCTGCACCAGAATTAAGGTATGAGCCAGGATATTTTGATATGTCCTCAGCTTAGT